CCGCGCGGCCCGGGCTGCCAGTGGCTTCTGGGCTTTCACCCGCTTCCCACCCCCCAGCACTCCCAAGTCCTTCTCCACAGGGCTGCTCTCCAGCCCTTCACCCCAGCCTGGGCTGATACCAGGGTGCAAGACCGTGCCCTTGAACCTCAGGAGGGCCACACGGTCCCACTTCTTGAGCTTTTCTAGGTCCTTCTGGTTGGATCCCATCCCTTGGGTGTGTCAAGGACACCACTGAGCCTGGTGTCATCGGCAGACCTTATCCCACTGTCTATAAGAGTTGACTGGTTTACTGGTGGTGGACTCAGGTCCCTGCTCTCATGTCAAGTCCCACTGTATGCTTTGTCTGGGTGATTTCCCACTGCAAGGACATCACCTTCCCTCCCTGGGTACACCCTCTTCCCATGCCAGGGGCTATAAAAATCAGTTCTTACCTGTGTATTCAAAACCTTTCAAGATGCTTTTATAAAAGAAAAAGAGGAGGCAGGAGGAGCATGGCTTTATGGAGGTTTGCTTGGCTAGAAGCTATTTTATGACTCTGAGGTTTTGGGAAGGGAGGCAAAAGCTGCTGAAAAGCCTCTTCCTGGGCTTCTGTTCTGTGCCTAGGTCACAGAGGAAGGCTGGAGCCAGGGGATGGTGGAAGGCCATTTTGTCTCTCTGTAACTGAGACCCTCAGCTGGAGATCAAGGTCTTTAAGGGCAGGGGCTCCTGGAAGGCTCCTCGGGACTGATAATGGTCGTTGTTGCCCCAGCCAAGGCTGGAGGCACCTCTCTACCCTGCCCCTGTCTCACTGAATCTCTTCCCTCCTCTTCCCTCAAACAACTCTCCTTCAAAGGCAGTGGTTTGTTTGTTTTTTTTTTTTCCTGTGCTTTGCTGGCAAACACCTGGCTGGAGAGAGGAGGGTTGGCCCACCCAACCAAAAAGGCTTGGGCTGTGTGGTGCTTGGGGAGAACCTGCAAGGGGGATGCTGATGCCAAAGGAGGGTGCAGAGTTTGCCCCTCCTGAGCACAGCATCAGGGGTGAAGAGAAGTCATCTAGCACAGAAAGGAGCTGGAGAGTCAGTGGATGAGAGAGAGAGCACTTGGGTATGTTCTCTGATGTCTAGAAAGGTCCAACAGGATCTCTCCCCACCCTCAGACAGGCTTTGAGGTCTCTTCATCATGTTAAGTACAGTAGAAATTATGAAGATGTTTTAGAAATTGGGAAGAGAGGAGGAGGGAGGGATGGACAAATGAAGTCAAAATGGCCCTGCCAAAGCCTCCCTCCTTGGTAAGGCCAACTGCAGACACCATTCATCAGCTGTCCAGTGTCCCGGTCTCTGTTAACTTCTCAGCTGTGGGCAGGTGCTCACAGCTCCTCCATGGGCCTCTGGTGGCCTCTTCCTGCTGGAGGAGTGACTACTAGCCAGGGGAGTGGGCAAGCTCCCCTCAAATTTGGCTTTGTTACATCTTGCAAAGTTAGGTTTGTTCTTTTTCTTTCAGGTGGAGCTGGAGAGGGCTCAGAGGAAGCAGCAGCACAGGAAGAAGAGGAGGAAGAAGAGGAGGAGGAAGAAGAGGAAAGCATTCCTGGGTGTACCTTGTTCATCAAAAACCTGAACTTTGCCACCACGGAGGACACACTGAAAGAGGTGAGCAGGCTGGGTTTTGCTTAGGCCTGCCCAGTTGGAGCAGGAGGGGGTTGAGTGTGTGGCTGAGGGCCAGGCTGAGGTGCCTGATGGACTTAAACCCCTCACTCTCAGCGTGGACCTGGAGAAAAGGTTCTACTCTGCTGCAGAAGGCAAGGAGCAAGCTCTTCCCTGCCTGCTGTGCTGAGGATGGAGCATTTCAAGGAGTTAAACTGCAGCCAGTATGACCTGGGAGATGAGGGAGCACTGGATTGTACTGGGACTGGGTTTCAGGCATCAGTTGAGACAAATGCATCTGAAACCACTTGGATAGGGTTTAATTCCACCTCAGGACAGGTGGAGGCAGTAGGAAATCTTCTCAGATTCCTCATTTCCCACACTTTCTGTAATGCTTCTCCTTGGGACAAGCACTTTTGCAGCTGTGATGCTGCTTTGTGAGTGAAAGAAGGAAATAAATAACTGATGGTTTCTCTGAGATGTGCACTGGGGAGGGGTCCTGGTGTTCCTAGAATCACGTGGGATGTCCATAGCCAACGAGGGAAAAGCAGCTGGGAGTTCTCAGCTCTGCCACTCCTTGCAGCCATGTGAAAAGCCACATTTGGTGGCCCAGGAATGCTGGTGCAGTGTCAGTCCATCCTGGACCCCTGCTCCTCTACCTTGAGATTGTGGTCCTATGTAGAGACCCTGGTTGGGGACAAAAGTAGATGCTCAGAGGAGGATTGGGACTTGTCCCCTCTTCTTCTTCTGCTTATTCTCTAGCGGGCTAAACAGTTTGCAGCTCCTTCTACCCTCCAGCCTTTCCAGTGTATTCTAGAGGCAGCACAGGAGTCACTCACCCCTAAGGTCCCTACCTGGCTGAGGGTATCTTGTCCATAGTGTTCCTCCAGAGCCAGCCCAGATCTCTGCCCTGTTTTTGAGAAATGATGGAAGATCTCTGGGATCGTGTATGTCTGGCTCAGTGTGTGCATATGTATTTGTACAGAAATAATTCTGTAAGAAGAGACCCAGCTGCACTGGGGGGAGGTGGCCCTGCCAGCCTGTGCTCCTGGCTCTGGGAGAGGGCCACGTTGTCACTCGAGTTGAGCTGCAAGCCTGGGAATCACGTGTCCCAATTCCTTGCAGACGTTCTCCAAAGCGGGAGCCGTGAAGAGCTGCATGATATCCAAGAAGAAAGACAAAGCAGGTACTCCAGATGTTGCTGTTCAGTTCCTTCCCTTGGCTGGTTGTGGAGGGCTCAGGTGTGGCATTGCTGCAGCATTCATCTAGCTGAGCATTTGTGTTCTCGTGGGCAAAATACTTAATATTTCCAGGAGTGTGCCTGTTGAAATGGCTGAAAGCAGCAACCGAAAACACCCCGGGGTTCAGTCTAGGAGGTTAAGCTCAATTGTGGGGTTTGTGGAGAATGTGGCCTTCTCTTGAGATCTTGAGATGGAGAAGCCAGCTCCTTCAGGCACAGAGAAGAGGGCAGGATGCAAGTTGAAAGGCACGGGGCTCTGTGCTGAGGTAACCTCTGCCTGGTGCTTTCCCTGCAGGCAGGGCCCGGCTCTCTGAGGGGGTCTGGCTGAGTGCTGTGCTGAGTGGGCTTCGTTTGCCTTCTGCCTGCCTGCTTCCAGCTCAGCAGGCTGTGGTGATGAGTGTCTTGCCTTGGCTGTGCTCACTCTCTGGGCAGTTGGAATAGGGAAGGGTTTGCTCAAGGCAAGCCCTGGCTGAATGGGCTGTGTGTTCTGGGGGGGGGTTGTGGCACAGCTTCACAGGCTGACCCTTTTGCCTGGAGTATTAGGTTCTATCCCCCTAATTTTTACAGTTGATGCTGATTTGGTTTTTTTAATCTTCTGCTTAATATCACCAATGCTTCCTGGGAGCTCAAGGAGTCTCCTTTCTCTTCTGACAGGCACTTTGCTCTCCATGGGCTTTGGATTTGTGGAGTACAAGAAGCCAGAGAGTGCCCAGAAAGCCCTGCGCCAGCTCCAGGTGAGCTTCAGCATTGTTCTGTCCAGAGATGGGCAAAGGCCACTGTGGAGTTGAAAATGCAGCTGAGGATGTCAGGGCTATGAGTTCCACCATGCAGATGGAAAAGCCTCTAAAAGGGGCAGGGTTTGTGGGGGGAGAGGGTACCTAAAGGGACAAGACCTCATGCAGGAATGTTTCCTAGTGATGATCCAATTCAGAGGTGGCAGAAAATGTGCAACGACTGAAATGTAATTCTAGATTGGTTTGGGTTGGAAGAGACTTTTCAAGGTCACCTAGTCCAACCCCCCTGCACTGAGCAGGGACATCTGCAGCTAGAGCAGGTTGCTCAGAGCCTTGTCCAGCCTGACCTGGAATTTTTCCAGGTAACCTGGGCAACCTGTGCCAGTGTTTCATGACCCTCAGTATGAAAAATGTATTCCCTTTATCTAGTCTAAACCTCCCCTCTTTTAGCTTAAAGCCATCATCCCTTCTGCAAGGTGCCCTTCACAGAGGTGACAGGCACCCAGGCCCCCACTTGCAATGAGAACAAATCCTGCTTCCTCAGTGCTGCAGAAATCAGCTTTTACTCTGCTGTTGCTTTGAGATCTTCCAGCCTCCTGCCTTCTCCATGCCACAGGGTGGGGTTGTGCTCTGAAGGGATAAATCATCCCCTGCTGCTAGAAAAACACCAAAGTGTTTGGCCCACTGTGCCAGGGTGGGGTGGGCAGGCAGCTGGAGTGAGCCTTTCCTAGGCAGCTGGGAAGGGATTACTCTGGGGCATGTTCACTGACCACGAGTCCCACCTTGAGCAGGTGGTCATTGCATGTTCCATAACTTACCTAGCTGTAAGATTAGATGAGGAATATATGGGAAAGAGCAAGGTGTGAAAGGCTGTGCTTGTATCCTGGGAGCTTGGAGGATGATGTGACTTGGATTTCTTAATTTATTATTGTTTTTCAGTTGTTGTTACTTTGTTTTGACTTCTAGGGCTGCTCTGTAGATGGCCATAAGCTGGAAGTGAAAATCTCAGAGAGAGCTGTCAGGTAAGGCTCATGTCTCACCTCTGTCCCATGGTTATGGGTATGCTGCAGTAAAGCTTGGTAAGTTCTTACCAAGCAAATTTTACCAAGGGGCTTTGTCATCTGAAGAAAAGGAGGCTCAGGGGAGACCTCCTTGCTCTTGACAACTCCCTGAAAGGAGGTTGGAGCCAGGCTGGGGTCAGTCTCTTCTCCCAAGGAACAAGTGATAGGGTGAGGAAACAGCCTCAAGTCGTGCCAGGGGAGGTTTAGGTTGCACACTAGGAAAAAAATTCTTCCCTGATAGGGTTGTCAAGCCCTGACCCAGGCTGCCCAGGGCAGGGGTTGAGTCACCATCCCTGCAGGGGTTTAAAAGTCTTGGAGATAAGGCATGATTTAGCAGGTGACTTGGTAATTAGGTTAATGGTTGGACTTCATGATCTTAAAGGTCTTTTCCAACCTAAATGAGCCTGTGATTCTAAGATCTCCCCATTGTGAGGGATGTCTGTGATCAGAAGTGCTCTGCTGTTGAACAAATCAGCCTTTGTGCTTTACTCAACACCACTTTGGTCAGTCTAACTTGAAAGCAGAACTGACTGAACAGCTGACACAAAGGTGTTCAGGAGTTAAAATCCTCTGTGGTAGTTGTGGGACCCCAAACAAGAGCCTAAAGTCAGAACCAGGCACTTGATTTTTGTTTTTTCTATGCCCAAGGAAGAGGTTCCTCTAAACCCTCTGCTTTGGTGACAGCTCAGTCAGCATTGTAAAACCAGCTGAAAGCCCAATTTCCAGTGGGTTTAAAGAGTTCCTGAAGACAAACATTCACTGGATAATGACATCTTTTACCCTAGTTCAGCAGTGAGAAAAGGAGCTTAAGAGTAATATTCTGATCCAAAGACAACCACAGATTGAAAAAAACCTTTGAATTTAACTTATTTTGTTTGGGCAGTCAGGTGCAAGGGAGATGGTTACTTGTGGATGGACTCACTTGGAGTTCAAGTTGTGCTTTGTAGAGTTCCTGATTTTTAAACTTTTTTTTTTTTTTTTAAATAAATAATTCCAGGTTTTTATTCAGTATAGAATCTTCTAAGTGCAAATTTGAAAATTAATCCAGATGGTTGAAGGTGAATGTTGGCACCTAAAAACTGTCCTTTGGATTCTTGGGACCAGAAACAGTTTGACAGCTCCCTGTTTGCACTTTGTATTTCACTTTAATAAGCCATTTTCATCCATTTTGATTTTTTTTTTTTTAAAAATCCTTTGAATTAGGGGTCCAGCCTATGATGGGGGATGCTTTGCTTTATGAAATAAGCTGCTGTGGTTTGTGTTAGGTAAATTCTTGTCCAAATGCAATACAATTCTGAGGTTAAAAAAAACAAACAAAAATTATCTATTACAAAATTTCTTTTGCTGTTTATGAAATCAGTAAGAAAAAGAATAAAGATTAGCTTACATTAAGCTTTTTTTTTTAATATATCAAATAGTACATTCTCCTGACAATTGAATGGACAAAATCTGGTGTTGAAACAGAAGTTAGTGACTAGTGTGAGCCCAGGTCTGCTGCCTGACCTCAGCTGAATTTGCAGGCAGCAAGCTGGAGACTTGGGTTTTCAGGTGCAGGATTTAAATCACTTAAACTGATTCCTCCTTGGTCTACTGTGCAACATTTCCTTTGTCACTGGGAGGATGTCAACGTGAGCTAGCTGGCTCATTTTTCTTCATTCCTAGTTTTGAAGGAGCAAGGATGTGAGGAGTGTTTTTCTGCCCCCTGGTCCTTACCTGCTCTTTCTGGCTTGGCAGGCCTGCTGTGAAATCATCCCGAAAGAAACAAACTGTCAAGAAGCAGAAGACTTCCAAGATCTTGGTCCGAAACATCCCATTCCAGGCCACTGTCAGGGAAATCAGGGAGCTCTTCAGGTAGGAAAGTGCTTGCTGGTGGATCTGGGGGGTGTTCCAGGCTGGAGCTGGTGTGGTCTTCATAGGGGATCTTGCAGGGAAGAGTTTTGTTTTCTCTTTGTGGAAGTAAACAGACCTTTTACTGAATATAAGTGCCAATAGGTTGGCTGGTTGTAACAGCATAGAAGCTGCTGGTGAGGCAGAGATCCCATAACCAGCACTTTGGCTGGAGCCACTGGGAGCTGTCAGCCCCAGCAGCCCATTGCTGTGCAGCAGACATGCAGGGAGCCTGGAGACCTCCCAGCCTGTCAAGTAAATGACATAGCCTTGGATGGTTTTTTCCCCTCTTGCCTGAAAGGCATGCAGCAGTTTTCCTGATGCTCAGAAAACCTGCAGACTGCTGCTGTGGAAGGTTTTTGCTGGGGCTGGCTCCCTCCTCCATCTGTCTCCCTCCACGGAGGGAGAGCTCAGATCTTGCTTTCCCTTCCATGGGTGTATCTCTGTGTGTGCCTCATGCAGTCAGGGAGGTGTTACCCTGGGCTTGGCAGCTCTGTGTCTAGATGCAGGACTGCACTGCTTGGAATGCCCTCTTGAGCAAGAAATCCCTCATCCACTGTGAGAGCTGCTTGGGCTGGTGCTGAATGATTTTGGACTTCCAGCCTGCGTTCTTCTTTGTGCTGCCTGAGCTCTGTTTTCTTTGTATCCTCAGCCTTTACTGCAGAGACTCTTTAAGCCTTGTAATGCATTCTGAAAAAGAGGTGAAAATTTGTAAAATGCATCATCTTCTCTGCTCCCAGGATGAGAATCTTTTGCTCGTTGACCCAGGCCATGGTCCCTTGCAGGAGGGAGTTGGGGAGTTGGTGTCCAGCTCTGCCCACCACCCTTTCCCATCTGCAAAATCAGGGTGCCAGCTCACCATGGTGAAGTTCTGCCTTCAGAGATGGGGGGTCTGTCTGAGCAGAAGGCAGCTGCTTGTCTCAGCCCTGCCCAGACATGTTTCCTCCCAAAGGGGCAGAGTTGAGGAACCCTTTGAAACCTCCCCAGGCCATGGGGTGAGAACTGCCTGGTGAGGAGCAACAGGGCAGGGATTTGTTTGTTGTGAGGGAAATGAGCTGTTTCCCTAGATACAGGGAATTCTTCCTGCTGTGTTAGCCTGTGATGCCCTCCTGCCTTGACCACAGGTAAGGAGAGTGATTCCCACGTGGTGGAGAGGAAAGCTCTACATTGCAGCCCTGATTTGGAGTGGGCTCTGGGCATGTAGCTGAATGCAGCCTGTGCCTTGGCTCTGGGACCCCTGTTGCTGGAAGGGTGATGGGAAGCACAGCTTAGAGAAGTTGAAGAAGAAACAAAAGCAGAACAAAGAGCAGAAGGTTTTCCTTGCTCGTGCTCTGCAGCTTGGTTGCTTTCACTTCAATGCTGCCATGAGAGGCTCTGCTAAAACAGGGCAAAAAAAAACCCTGGACTTCAAGTTGCTGTGCTGAGTTTTCTGGGCACATGGGGCACTGCTAATTTAAAACCCACACTGGTGGCTACAGATGTGACCTTTGTAGAGCTGGAGCAAACAAAACTCAGGGGCATCTATTTGCTTTCTAGGGTTATGGGTCAAGGAGCTGGGAGGTTGATGTGTATCATGAGGATAGACAAGCCCAGCAGAGACCACGGGGGGGAGGTTTGTGTGTTTTTTTTCCCTCCTGCCTTGTCTGGCACCTCGGTGCTGTGGAGAGGAGGGGCAGAGGAGCAGTCTGATGAATTCTGCAAGGCACATGCAGCTTCTGGACACGTGTGCTGTTGGCAGCTCTCTGGGAGCGACGCCTGAACATCCGTTTCATTTACCTAGGAGAGTCAGATGTGGGTATTATCCTCAAAACAACAGCCAACCAGCTTGCGGGGGGGGGACCCACAATCCTCCCTCCACCCCTGCCATCCCTCCTTCCCTTCAGAGCAGCTAAAACAAGGCGTGACAGAGCGCTCTGAATACTTCATCCTCCTAGATTGCCTGTTTTGGGTCGGTTTTTTTCCCTCCCCTCTTTGGTGGTTTTAAATCAGATGCTGTTGCTCTGGAGCTTTGAGCTCCTCCTGCATTTAGGAACCTGTCTGGTTGGTATTTCCTGAGTTCTTTGCAATTGCAAACGCTCTGGGGTGGCAGAGCTGCAGGGGGCACTCTTGGCCTGCCCAGCAGAGCCTGGCTGGGGACCCACCAGGCTTGGGGACAGCAAGGGACCAGCACCAGGCCACCGTGCTGGGCATTGCCACACAGGGCAGCAGCCCCGGGCCCACCAAGGGGAGGAGGGGGCTTTGCAGTGTGAGCATCTCCTCTATTGTTTCCAGCCCTGGAGCTGAGCTTGGCTCCCAAGCTGCTTGCTTTTTGCTTTCCTCAATTGCCTGGGCAGGAGAAAAAGTAGGAAATAAATACACATACACACACACAAAAATATAAACACATGCTGTTTTAGATATAGATTTATCACCCCAAACAAATCTATATGTTAGTGTGTGTATATATTACCTCAGACAAATGCATACATTATACACATTGATATTTCCAAATTTATATATAATTTTTTTTGTCCCCTTGACAAATATTTCCATGCTTTCAGCTTTGTCAGAGAATCCTCTCTTCCTCAAATGGACCCACAGTGGGTGTTGGTGACACTGGAACTGCAAAACAAGGGAGCTGAGTGTTTGGAGTGGGGAATTTTCAAAGCAGTTGTGTCTGTGCTGCAGTTCAGGAAATCCTGCAAGGATTGTCTGTATATTTTGTTACTGTTCTTCACCACTTAACTGCTTAGATTTGCCCTGCACCATCCTTCCTGCTCCTGCAGCAGCCCAAGGGCAAGCCTGTCCACGGGTGGAAAATTCAGATGGATTTTTTTTCCCCAGCTCATCGTTTGCAGGAGATCCAAACCAAACGTGTTTCTTTGCCTTTTGGAGCTGGGGGACAGCGAGTTCTAATTCTGGGGTTGGAAAAAGGTGGTGCTTAATTTTCTCTTCATTTTCCTCTGAATTTCCCCACGAATGCTCTGGTTAACAGCCCAAACCTTCCACCTGCAGAATGAATGGCTCCTTGCAGGGCTTTCTGCCTGAGCTTTAGGTGCTGCCCACCTTCCACACCAACCCTGGGGCTGTGCAGGGTGGTTGGAGCGTGTCCTGCTGCCTTCAGCTGGAGGTGTTGGCCTCTCATGCTCTCAAGGGATTCTTTCTTTTTTTTTTTTTTAAATAATTTATTTTTTTATTGAGACCCGATAGGTGTAATTTTCTTCAGAGGGAGAAATGCTTTTCAATTATAGGGGCTGCTTTTGGGCTAGGTGTGAAGATTTAGCTTTTGTGGGGGTGGTTTTTTCCCCCCCCCATTTTTGATCTTTATTAGAGTCTACTCTTCTCTTTACTACCTAGAAAAATAACAAAAAGACAAATGGTCCTTAGTTCTTTCCAGAGAGACACAGTTAGGGGAGGAGAGACAAAGGGATTGATATCCTGTGAAGGCTGCTAATTTTTGCTACCAAATTGGGGGGCTTTTATGGCAAGGCTTCTTTTTTTTTCTTGAAAAAGGACTCTAGATGTGGCAAGCTGAATTGGAGAACTGTGAAAGGCCACGTGTTCACAGATGGGAGCTCTGGCAATTTCTGAAAATTAGGCTCCTTTCAAATCTTCAGCCTTCACTGGATGTTCCAATTAAGTGTTTGGACTTTGGACAATTGTTTGTTTCATGGCATCCTTTGCCATCCTCCTTGCCCCTTCCAGCACCAACTTGCATGAATATTAAAGATAAGGCTGCAGTTGGCAGATAGTGTTTCAAGATGCATGTTTTTCTTACCCCAGGGGGAAAGAATTAGATGGAGAAAAAGACTTCTACCCAACCAAATGCAACCTGAAGGGTAGATGCAGTTGGGAGCCTGTGTGGAGTGTGACCTAAGTGATGCTTGTCCCACCAAAGGATGCAGGTGCCTCTCAAGCAGCATCTTTTGGGGCTGCCATGGTTTCCTCTTCTCTGCAAAAGAAATCTGAGAACTTGGTGCTGGGTCTGTACCTACAAATACTGCCAGCATTGCAATGAGGGGCACTGCTGGGGACTAGTTGTGGTCGACACTAACCCTCAGAATTCAGAGTGTGTGTGGAAGGTGTTTCTCTGGCTGTTGGACCATCCTTTGCCTTTCACATGTAGGAACTTCAACCAAACGTTGCATAAAGCTCTTTAAATCACAAAATTATTATCAGTTGAGAGACTGGACTTGAGCTTGACTAAAGCAGCAGCTGGGAGGGAGAGCAGTTGGAAGGTATGCAGAGCACAGAGCAGGTTATCAGGTGCATTTATCTCCCTCTCCTGACTTCCCTCCAAAGAAAGTAATCCTGCTTCCTGCACAGACCTCCAGGGCTGGGTGTCTCTTTTAATTTTAACTCCTTTGCTGACTGTTTCCTCCCTCTTGACAAAGACATGGCATTTATTGCATCTGGCAAAACAAGTGCCTGGGACTGATTAGGAGAAAACAGATCTATTCCCTCTGATCAAGGGTAAAAGTGAAGGCAGCCCATGGGACAAGACTTTGGAGTCGTGTCTCTTCTAGAAGAAGGGGGAAAAAAAAAATCTCTGAAGAGAGATACAGGGGATAAACTGGCAGAGATATTTTTTTAAAGGCAGCCTTTATGAAGTTAATTTTATAAGATGATGCCTTTCACTTCTTCTGACCTATTATAATAAAGTGTAGTTATCAGAATGGGCTTTTCATTTCCCATTATAAAGGACACGGTGGTATAATGAATCCATCTGCCAGACATGCTTGCTGTTCACACCTTTCTCCCAGTAATGGAGTCTACCTCACTGGAGACAATTTCTCCTTCCCAGAGTAACGTGGCCCCGTCGAAGCTGTGGAAATCTTTGCTACTGAAAGGCAGAGGAGGAAAAAGAAATAAATTAGTCCCTTCCTAAACACGTGAGTTTGTTAAGCAGGTGCTGAGCAGTACTAATTAGACTAGTCCTTGCAAACAGCCCTGGGATGCAGGGTGCTGGAAGCATCATTTGCTGA